AAAATTACATGGATTTCGAACTTTTTAACAATTGTATCAAACCATAGTAAGACTATTTTGAAACTGAACCCTTAGACCTCCTTATCTTTTATCCTTTATGTATTTAATAAAGTATCTGGTAAAATATTACAACGCCCAACAAAATAATCATTTTTAGCCGTGTTGCTGACGATTTTCTGGAAATTATTGAAGAATTTTAAATATAAAATCCCTTGAAACCATAACTTTAGTATCGTTATTTAGTCCATCCTACAGGAAAAAAAACAACAACAACAACCAATGAAGAGACTATATAGTTTGTAATACTGATAACAATATTTCTGATTTCTAAACTTCCAGAGTAAAAAAAAAAACTTCCTAAAGTTTCATGTCATATTTTCGCATAATTACTCTTGTTCGACATAAGAGACCGTTTAAACGTTATTTTGAACATAAACAAAATAGGTCAAGCACACATCAGTTTTGACCCGTTTTTCAGTTGCCCGTTTTTCTAGAAAATAAACGTCATACCGACAGTTTTCGAGATCATTGACAATCAAGGACATGCAATACTGAAACTTTTCCCATTTACAGTTGCGCTAGAGTTGTATTGGCAGTGAAGCCTGTTTTGTGCCCATTCACCCATATATCACGTAGAATAGCGACCGTTGTATTGGAATGATATGTGTTTTAGTTTGAAGGCTTTAAAGTGGTATATTACGTTTTAAGAACAGTTTATTTTCACTGTGGAACACTTTGAAACGAATAAGAACGTTAGAGATAGATTTGGTCACTAGTGGCACCTTAAGATAGGAATAAATTGTTTGTATTACTATAGTCCGTTCACAAAATATAAGCGGTTTTATGGGAAGTTCTTCCACTACTTTTTTCCCTAATGTATATGTTGCAGCTACGTTTTGGCAAACACCAGCTGTTGCGAAATTGTTTATAGTAGGATCAAGTGGAGGGGATAGATTTCTTCCCCTAAAACCGCCTAAATTGGGTAATTTGTTAAGTATTTTTACCACAGTAGTTGTGTATATTTATACAAGTGTGTGTAGTTCAATATTTGTAAAAAACGCTTTAATTTTTAGGATAATTTTTATAAAATAATCAAAGTGAGTTTTTAAGCAAACATTTACCTTACGGACAAAACTCCCTTTTGGTTTAACTGTAAAATATATTAAATAGGAAAACAATAGAAATGAGTGTTAATGTTTGTATTTGACAGGAGTGTTATTTACAATACAAACAATGGAATGCAATTTACAATCAGCTGTTGTCGATAACACCCGGAATAAATAATTAGTGAATAAGTAGTGACTAGTGGGCTATAATCAATTTAAAACAAGGGTTTTAAATAAATGTAGGTACTGTTTAATTAGTGTTAAATGAATACAGAAATAATAGTTTTAGTGAAAAAATATTAAAAACAAATCTTACAGTCCCGTTAAAAACCTACATTTAATTTCTAGATCTTTGGTGTGGACAGCCTACAGTGATAAGCGATGTCATGGTATCAATCCATTGTCTATCCATCATGGATTTGTACTTCATGTCAAGGCCATTGGTGTGGACATTATACAGTGATAAGGGCTATCAATAACAATACCTCCATTGTCTAACCTCCAGCTCCATTATAGATTTGTACTTCATGTCAATGCCGTTGGTGTGGACATTATACAGTGATAAGGGCTATCAATAACAATACCTCCATTGTCTAACCTCCAGCTCCATTATAGATTTGTACTTCATGTCAATGCCGTTGGTGTGGACATTATACAGTGATAAGGGCTATCAATAACAATACCTCCATTGTCTAACCTCCAGCTCCATTATAGATTTGTACTTCATGTCAATGCCGTTGGTGTGGACATTATACAGTGATAAGGGCTATCAATAACAATACCTCCATTGTATAACCTCCAGCTCCATTATAGATTTGTACTTCATGTCAAGGCCATTGGTGTGGACATTATACAGTGATAAGGGCTATCAATAACAATACCTCCATTGTCTAACCTCCAGCTCCATTATAGATTTGTACTTCATGTCAATGCCGTTGGTGTGGACATTATACAGTGATAAGGGCTATCAATAACAATACCTCCATTGTCTAACCTCCAGCTCCATTATAGATTTGTACTTCATGTCAATGCCGTTGGTGTGGACATTATACAGTGATAAGGGCTATCAATAACAATACCTCCATTGTCTAACCTCCAGCTCCATTATAGATTTGTACTTCATGTCAAGGCCATTGGTGTGGACATTATACAGTGATAAGGGCTATCAATAACAATACCTCCATTGTCTAACCTCCAGCTCCATTATAGATTTGTACTTCATGTCAAGGCCATTGGTGTGGACATTATACAGTGATAAGGGCTATCAATAACAATACCTCCATTGTCTAACCTCCAGGTCCATTATAGATTTGTACTTCATGTCAATGCCGTTGGTGTGGACATTATACAGTGATAAGGGCTATCAATAACAATACCTCCATTGTCTAACCTCCAGCTCCATTATAGATTTGTACTTTATGTCAATGCCGTTGGTGTGGACATTATACAGTGATAAGGGCTATCAATAACAATACCTCCATTGTATAACCTCCAGCTCCATTATAGATTTGTACTTCATGTCAAGGCCATTGGTGTGGACATTATACAGTGATAAGGGCTATCAATAACAATACCTCCATTGTCTAACCTCCAGCTCCATTATAGATTTGTACTTCATGTCAATGCCGTTGGTGTGGACATTATACAGTGATAAGGGCTATCAATAACAATACCTCCATTGTCTAACCTCCAGCTCCATTATAGATTTGTACTTCATGTCAATGCCGTTGGTGTGGACATTATACAGTGATAAGGGCTATCAATAACAATACCTCCATTGTCTAACCTCCAGCTCCATTATAGATTTGTACTTCATGTCAAGGCCATTGGTGTGGACATTATACAGTGATAAGGGCTATCAATAACAATACCTCCATTGTCTAACCTCCAGCTCCATTATAGATTTGTACTTCATGTCAAGGCCATTGGTGTGGACATTATACAGTGATAAGGGCTATCAATAACAATACCTCCATTGTCTAACCTCCAGGTCCATTATAGATTTGTCCTTCATGTCAATGCCATTGGTGTGGACATTATACAGTGATAAGGGCTATCAATAACAATACCTCCATTGTCTAACCTCCAGGTCCATTATTGATTCGTACTTCATGTCAATGCCGTTGGTGTGGATATTATACAGTGATAAGGGCTATCAATAACAATACCTCCATTGTCTAACCTCCAGGTCCATTATTGATTCGTACTTCATGTCAATGCCGTTGGTGTGGACATTATACAGTGACAAGGGCTATCAATAACAATACCTCCATTGTCTAACCTCCAGCTCCATTATAGATTTGTACTTCATGTCAATACCATTGGTGTGGACATTATACAGTGATAAGGGCTATCAATAACAATACCTCAATTGTCTAACCTCCAGCTCCATTATAGATTCGTACTTCATGTCAAGACCGTTGGTGTGGACATTATACAGTGATAAGGGCTATCAATAACAATACCTCCATTGTCTAACCTCCAGCTCCATTATAGATTCGTACTTCATGTCAAGACCGTTGGTGTGGACATTATACAGTGATAAGGGCTATCAATAACAATACCTCCATTGTCTAACCTCCAGCTCCATTATAGATTTGTACTTCATGTCAATGCCGTTGGTGTGGACATTATACAGTGATAAGGGCTATCAATAACAATACCTCCATTGTATAACCTCCAGCTCCATTATAGATTTGTACTTCATGTCAAGGCCATTGGTGTGGACATTATACAGTGATAAGGGCTATCAATAACAATACCTCCATTGTCTAACCTCCAGCTCCATTATAGATTCGTACTTCATGTCAATGCCATTGGTGTGGACATTATACAGTGATAAGGGCTATCAATAACAACACCTCAATGTCCAGTCTCCTGCTTCAGTATGGATGCATGCTTTATTTCAAGGTATATCTTGAGCAAACATTGTTTGCGCTATATTCAGCTAAATTTTAAAGGTTCGAAAATGTTTAACACATGTTCACTAAATCTCCATAAACGAAGATAAACATATCCAGAGATATTTCCACCAAACAGTGAGGAAACGAATTTTACATATGTAAATGAATTAGAATAAGCTTTACAATGTAATGGTCTTGTCGGTTTGTAAAATTATTTAATTTCCAATTGCAACATTTAACGTTTGCATTGAATATTGCTAATCTGTCGAGCTCTCGACACAGACGTACTCAAGTAGGATTGTAGGATTGTAGGGGACAAATTGATGAATGAGTGAAGTTCTTTGCGCCTCTGAGGACAAACTAATTGGGATTCATTAATCTCCAAACGATCCCCGATTGCAGCGGTTTGCAACTTTGGTTGATCCACTAGTATTACACTGTCATATGAAACTTTTTTCTCCATTCTACCACAGAAAACATACTACTATAACCTTATAGTAGTATGTTTGCTGTGATTATACTGAGATACTAAACAGGTTATTACTGTTACATGTGGATAGTTTATTAAATTCTCTATTAAAAAATCACTACAGTTTTTATGGTGAGGTAGCCTCTGGATCACTAAATTTAAGCTAAATGGTTTATGTTACCTGGCTTCGTCAAGTGATCCTGCTTCAGTAGATTACTACTATAGTTTCAGACTTAAAAGTCCATGTTCAGGTAGGTTCAAACCTACCTGAACAAACACCTATTGACAAACACGTCAATAAGTCATCTAACCAATTTGGTCATAATAATTCATGACTCATCTTCCGGCTTCGCCACACATGTTCCCCGTGATTAATTAATCACTTGACGAAGCCAGGTAACATAAACCATTTAGCTACAGTTTTTAATTTTAAAATACATGCAATGGATACATTTAATTATAGAAAACTATGCAATGTAGTCAAATCTTAGGTAGGTAGCAGTTGTATGTAGCTGTACTGACCTTGTCAAATGCAAGAGGCCGATGAGCGCGGTCGGCGGGCTCCATGGCGGTTCGGGGCTGGCCAGGGGTCGGGCCTAACCGAACTCCATAGGGCTCTGTCCCCGCCCCATCCTCCGCGCTCTCTCTCACCCGCGCATTTGATCTGAAACAGAGGACAAAACTGTAGAAACTGTCAAGAGAAGCAACACTAAGAATTATGAGAAAGTGCTAGGAAAAGGTAAACTGTATTAGGAGTCACTGGATCTTCCAATGGAACAGGATGGGAATTGCAGTGAAAAGCCTCTTGTATGGGATATGCTTAGGGGAAATAGATATCAAAATATGGTTTGAATGGAAGGGAATTTGAATTCCCTGAGAATTCACACAAGATCCCGGGATATGCTGCAGAGTTCAAGAAGAGGGTCGAGGAACAATCGTAATGAAAATCTTAAATCTTGTAAAGGATCAAGAATTTGAGAAGTTTTAGGTGGGAGTTTGCAGTAAACTGTAAACAGCTGCCTTGCAATGAAATTAAAACAATCATTCCCTTAAAAAAAAAGAAGAGAAAAATTACCAGGCACACCACCCATTTGGAATCTGTATTGAAAATTACTTAGGTTGAAATATTGGTTTTATTAGTCTAATATAAAGTCATATAATTAGTTATAGACCCTAGCTATGTTTAGATAAGGAGGATTCAAAATTTTTGAAATAACACGAAGAAAGAAAATAACTCAATATTGATATACGATCCTTCTACTAACTCATATTATTTAAATTTTTTTATTTGCAGCATTTTTATATTTGCTCCTCTGTTATGATAGGCCACGAGAAGAACTATTAGGTACACCCCTCACTTGGAATCTGCATTAAAAATACTTAGGTTGAAAATGTTATATTAGTCTAATATAGATTCATCAAATTAATAATAGTCACTGGTTACGTGTTTATAGATAGGGAGGATTAAACAAATTTGAAATTACTAACACGAAGAGAACAACTCAATATATAAGTATTACGTTCTTACCTCCTTCTAAAAACCCATTTTTGTATTCGCTTCATGGTTACGATGGACACGATTTCAATAAAAAACATACACATAAGGAGAATTAGTTTGGCGAGCCTGGATTTAGAGAGAGGCGAAGAAGTATTTATTGAGAGGATTTCACTGAAGCAGATTGTAATCCCAGGAGGAGGATCTCTGCTAACACACGAGTGTCTGGTAATTACCTTTGGTGAATGTTGCATTCGATTTCACAACAGAAACCGTATGTCTCCTCTAATGACATATCTCACTGTTAAACACTGTATTTTGTAGCTGGATTTTGTAATAATCGCCAAGTAATTAAAAGGTCGCCGGTATGTTCTTGAGAAAACTCAGTAGCTTTTTAATGGACCCAGCTGTCCTATAACATTGGGCTAATACATTTTCATGACTGAGAAACAGCTGATGTTAAGTCAGTAAACACAGAGTAGTAAGATCTTACTTCCCAAGCTACACAGATTTTACCATACGAGTGCACCTGTTGCTCGAATTCGAGCAATTGTAAGGTATTAAAGGCGTTATTTAAAAACGAATAACAATCATAATTTCCGATTACAGAGTCAAATCAAAGATAATGTGAAATCAATCACTCCACTACAGTTATTGACCCTGAAAACGAACGCTCTTGTGTGTATCATGTGTTTACTTTGAGCAGCTGTAATTAATACAAATAATTCGTCTGTTAAATAGACAAAATATTTTCTTCATGAGAAATACATTAGATTTTCATGGCCTGTGGGGCAAAGCCAGAGAACTTTTATTACAGGAATTGGTGAATGGGGGCGTCTACACAAAACATACTTAATTTTGACACATCGTTTGTAAAGAAAATCCGTCCATTATTAACGGAGGAGTAGTGTTTCGTAGAAATCGCCTTTGCGTATTATAAATAAGGATTCTAGCACCATACTCAATCATATTCAGTTTAAAATACGCACTAAATTGTGTTTCGTTGTCTTGAATAATTGAATTGAACTATTGGAACTAAATCATGGAAATACTTAAATGGTTTCTCGCATTGGATTTAAATTTAAGCAGGGTGTTAGAATAAAGCTATAAATATTAAGCGTTAGAATAAAGTAAAAAAAATTTCCAACATATTTAAGGTTTATTTTTACCTGTGCTACATCCAATTTCTCTTGTATGGGTGGTTACAGGGACTACTGCTGGGTTTCAACCAAGAGTAGTTTAACTTTAAGTAGGTATTTTACATAAAATTGGTATTAATTTTTAACTTTAGGTAATAATCTTCATACGATGCAGTCGATTGAATATGAGGTCGTGATTAAGGATTTGTACATTGAGGGAAGAACAATTTGGTATTTTTGGACCTGGTGATACATGTAGCTAACTTGATACCAGATTTATATTGCCTACTATTTTGACTTGTTGCGCGCAAGGTACAGATATAACAGAGTTGGCGAGTAAGGAGGATTATAAATACGTCAGTTAATCAATAATTTATTAATTGTTGTTCTGGTATTAGAGTTGCATATTCTTATGATTCGATAAAGCAAAGAAACACCTAACAACCGGATTTGTGTAAAAAATGTCACATTATTATATACTAAGAAATTAATAACAAACTTATGATTAGAAGATGATAGAAAATTCGTAAACAGTAAAATTTTTCGCTTGTATTTTTATAAGTGCGTATTGAATTTGTAATACAGCATCGACTAACCTGTAATTCATATTTCACTATCTGCTTTATTATTCAAGATGCGCCTGTATTTAGTGAGATGCAATATAGGGGCTGCTATCTTATTGCGTGGAATACTAGGTGGCGTTTGCAGAGGCATCCACAAAATTGAGCGGAGCCATCAAGAGTTTATATTATATTGTTTTGGTCATACTACAGTAATACTAGTTGTTTTTAAAGCATGCGTTGCGGGTCTAAAGTAGCATTTTTACTCTTTAGGAAGTAAAAATAGATTGTATCCTCTATGGAGTAAAAATCAGCTGTTGTCAACTCAGTTGTAAATTTCTATATTGTAAACGATTGCATGAATCGAAATATGTATCGATTCGTGCTTCGTAGTTATTTTAACCTACAGTCTACAGTCTCTTCCCATAGCCTTTTAGCATTGCAGATACATTAATCCATTCCCACACTCAACACGCTCACCTTTACTACTTCCTTCACCACCCTCAACGTCGTGGACCTGTTTCCCTCTCTTCCCATAGCACTTTAGGATTGCAGATACATTAATGTAATTGCCAAAGATAGTTCCCACACTCTGCACTGCAAGCCTTACTACTTCCTTCACCATTTCCTACGTCAGAGACTTGTTTCCTTCCCTTCTCATAGCATTTTTGGATTAAAGATACATCAATCTAACTACCACAGACAGTTTTCACACTATGCTCATACTTTACTACTTTCTAAGCCATTTCCTACATCGTGGACCTGTTTTCACCACTTTCCATAGCAATTTAGTATTTTAGATACGTTAATCTAATTGCCACAAACATTCCCCACACTCCGCAATGCTAGCCTTTACTACTTCTTTCACCATTTTCTATGTCGTGGGGATGCTTCCATCCCTTCTCATAGCATTTCAGCATTGCAGATACGTTAATCTAACTGCTACAAACGGTTTCCAGTTCCCACACTCCACACTGCTCACCTTACTACTTCCTTCACCTCTTCTTACGTCGCGGACCTGTTTCCCTCTCTTCCCATAGAATTTTAAGATTGTAGATACCTTAATCTAATCGTCATAAACAGATCCCACACTCCGGACAGCTCACCTTGACGACTGCCTTCACCACTTCATACGTCTCGGACCTTTTCTCTCCCTTCGCATAGCATTTTAGGATTGCAGATCCCTTAATCTAATCGTCATAAACAGTTCCCACACTCCGGACAGCTTGCCTTGACTACTTCCTTCACCACTTCCTACATCGTGGACCTGTTTTCCTCCCTTCCCATGGCATTTTATGATTGCAGATACCTCAATCTAATCGTCATAACCAGTTCCCACACTCCGGACAGCTCGCCTTGACTACTTCCTTCATCACTTCCTACGTCGCGGACCCGTTTTCCTCCCTTCCAATAGCATTTTAAGATTGCAGATACCTTAATCTAATCGTCATAACCAGTTTTCACACTCCGGACTGCTCGCCTTTACTACTTTCTTCACCACTTCTGACGTCGCGGACCTGTTTCCCTCCCTACCAATAGCACCATAGGATTGTAAATACCTTAATCTAATGGTCATAAACAGTTCCCACCCACCAGACTACTCGTATTTACTACTTCCTTCACCACTTCCTACGTCACGGACCTGTTTACCTCCCTTCCCATAGCATTTTATGATTGCAGATACCTTAATCTAATCGTCATAAACAGTTCCAACACTCCGGACTGCTCGCCTTTACTACTTCCTTCGCTACTTCCTACGCCACAACCCTGTTTACCTCCCTTCCCTTATAATTTTTAGAATGCAGATACCTAAATCTAATCGTGATAAACGGTTCCCACACTCCGGACTGCTCGCCTTTACTACTTCCTTCACCACTTCCTACGTAGCAGACCTGTTTCCCTCCCTTCCCATAGCATCATAGGATTGCAAATGCCTTAATCTAATGGTCATAAACAGTTCCCACACTCCAGACTGCTCACCTTTCGTACTTCCTTCACCACTTCCTACGTCGTGGACCCGTTTTCCTCCCTTCCCATAGAATTTTAGGAATGCAGATACCTAAATCTAATCGTCATAAACAGTTCCCACACTCCGGACTGCTCGCATTTACTACTTCCTTCACCACTTCCTACGTCACAGACCTGTTTACCTTCCTTCCCATAGCATTTTATGATTGCAGATACCTTAATCTAATGGTCATAAACAGTTCCCACACTCCGGACAGCTCGTATTTACTACTTCCTTTACCACTTCCTACGTAGCGGACCTGTTTCCCTCCCTTCCCATAGCATCATAGGATTGCAAATGCCTTAATCTAATGGTCATAAACAGTTCCAACACTCCCGACTGCTCACCTTTACTACTTCCTTCGCCACTTTTAACGCCACGGACCTGTTTCCCTCACTTTCCATAACATTTTATGATTGCAAATGCCTTAATCTAATGGTCATAAACAGTTTCCACACTCCA